ATGTTTTCTGGAAGACTGATGATGCATCGGATCTCATGCTCACACTTCCTTGCTCAACTCTGCCTTTCAAGCTCACCTAAACAAATGTACTAACAACCATTGAGAAGGAGCTCAACTAAACACAAAACTTTCCAACAAGATGAATAAGAAACTGGCTCCATCAAAAACCTGAACAAAAGTTAAAAAAACAACAGACAATATCAATTAATGGGTGTCAGGCGGCCACCATCGGTATTATCAACATCCCGAAGAAGAGGAGAACATTTTTCCAGGTCATCTGTGGTAGTACCTCATCAAGAAAGGAATTCAACGTATCAAAATATGTGGTGAACTTATCTGAAAACTGCTATGCTGCATAGCATACATTATCATGCAGCCTGTGTAACAATTCAAATGGCACGAAGCTCCCAGGGAGGCAAATCTAAGAAGATAGGTCCAAACTTCATCTGTGGACTGTGCAGTCATAAGAGGATCCATGGGGCCATACAAAGGTGAATCAATCAAGCTGAATAGGGAAGCTCAATGACCAAAAAAAAAAAGAATAGGGAAGCTCGAACTGGACTATCTCAAGTTAAAATTAATTAGATTTTATCAAATTTGTGTCATCTAACACATGAGAATAGTTTACCTGCTAGCTCGGCATTCAAAAAACCTCAGACTGATTGATGACCCCCAACACTGTGTGCTACGGTAGCCATCTATGTGGCTACAAAATATACATCACTTGGAACTCAAGGTGCTACAGAACTAACATGGTAACATGGCACTGGAGTTACAAGATGTAACTGCATAGCTATATGATCATAAGCACTTACTTTTGAAGTTAAAACTACTGATTAGGGTTCTCTCACCAACAAGTCTAGAAGCAAAAGTAAGGGAAGGAAAAGCAAGTGCAAGAATTGATGCAAATGAAGCAAAAATAGATCACCCAACTATTCTAAGGCAATCAACCAAAAAAAAAAAATGCACCCATTTAGCATATTAAAATATTTCAGAAGGAAGGAATTGACAAGGAAATTATTACGATGTAACGGTAAACCACAAATTGCTAGTCCAAATCATTTGCAGTCATGCTTTCATTTTAAGGCAAGGACCAGTCATTTGGTACTGGACACTAAGTCTTTGAATCTTGATATGGAAAAGAAATATAAGGTACCAAGGCATGGAGAAAGTAATGAGGACATCAATACCAATGGCCATGATGATTTTGAAAATTACAGTACAACAAAGAAAAAGGAAACATAAAATGGAATACTGTAGAATGTTAAGAGCCAAACATTGCAAATCTGTTGAATTAAAAAATATGGTGTGAAGAATACAATTTTACAACGTGCAAAAAATTTTGGAAATACAAAAGTTGATGAATAATGCATTTATGCCCTCTATAAATAGTCTGTCTCAAGTCATAACACTACTATATTATGCCAGTTCAATGAAACTAAAACACTAAACCCCGTAAGGCATATTATCACGTATGTTTTATGGAATCAAGGCTAAGAATGAGAAATTATAGCAAACGAAAAACCTCAAAGCAAACTAAGCACATGCAAAGTTATGCAGGGAATCCAAAGAATATGGTGACCATATCCCAAATAATTGTTTAATTGACAACAATAACACCAAAATGGTTTCTTCAAGATACAACGATCTCTGTTGATGAGTTCCATTTTGAAAACCAATAAGTGTCAGCTTAAAGAAAGGACCACACAACATACTAGATCACACCCCGTAACTCCATATTTTCAGTGAGATTTATTAACACACCAACTGAAACAGGCCCCAGGATTTTCTTACAACTAATAGATCAATAAACTTGACATTACACCACTGAGTCCCCAATCCTTTGGTTGCTGTGCAGTGACAGTACCACTATGGCAATATCCAAGGTGATATGGCAACTTATGTACACACAATGAATAGAAAGTGAACCACGCGGTCCACGCCCATGAAGATTAAATTTCATTTCCTAATCAATTTGTATCCCACTGTTAAGAACCCGATTCTGTCCCCCCTCGAACACAAATCTAGGAGTAAATTACTACACACTTTGGCGAACATGTAGCAGTTTTATTGGGTTCCAAGATCAGGAAAACAATTTAAAAACATGGAGCTGTCAAAAATTCATCCACTTGCAGTAATTATTATTTAATCACTAGTATTAGTTATCACAATGAGAATCAATAGTTACATGTTGATATTGTAATTAAGATACAATTATCCCCTCGCACCAAAGTTTTTTGGGCAAATTAAAAAATGGAGAACTTGATAAATATAAATTTCGGTAAACCTGCGTCAACAGATTGCCTCGGCTAGATTTTCCCTAGTATTGTTAGGTTGTTGAATGTTTAATATTGGTCCTTTCAAGCACAAAGAATGTAGTATAAACACAGACACCAAGCAACGTATATGATGCACAATAAAACTCACAACTGAACCTCATCAGAAAATTACAGAATATTGTAATTTAAAGATTCAGAAATTTGCTTCTGAGGAAAAATGCAGATGTACTAACAGATAAACTTGCAACATATTCTCGCAATTGAGGATTGGGAGCACATAGATGATAGATCTATCAAGTGTGGTGTAGTAGTGTGACATTTTGGTGCTATAGCAAAGGCCTTTTAGAACATACGACGTTGTCTTTTCACCTCATAACAAGCCAAGTTTACCAATAATAGAATGGTAAACACCAACAACGATACATATCTTTGTGTCCTCGAAATAACCTGTCAGTCAATCGCATTCGTAAAACGGATTGAAGATGGAAATTGATTGGAGGACATCTAAACAAAAGTTTGTTGGTTCCCACAGTTGGCCAAGCAAGTATTTAATAACAATAAGGCAAATGAAACCTTTTCCTAGAGCTCTTAGTTCATTTCCTGAAAATTGAAATTTTGTTGGTGGCTTTTTTCTCCACAGATGTTTATTTATATCCAGAAAAGTAGCATACCGTCTCACTTATTTGACCATTGTGCTCTTCTTGATTCCTCTTAGAAGGGGTCAAAGAGATGTGATCACCATCCTCTAATTCTCTGCCCTTCCTTATGTTCTCTTTTTGTCTCTTTTCGTGCACCCTATGGTTGTCAGAAGCATTGACAGCACGATCATTTCGACTGCTTGCCCTCTCATGCCTTGCTCGTTTCCCATCATTAGTGAGCTGGTTTCCACGTGTGTAAGCATCCTCACGTCCCCTATGCATGGAAAAACTTTCATTCTCAACTCGATCCCTTCTCTTTAGTTGCTCAACATGTCGCCCAGCATCTTTTAGGTACTCCCTATCAGAACCTTTATAGTCATCCTTCGCCCTCGAATTGGCAGCCCATGCTTTGTCTTCTGTATTTCGCCCACTCCTCAAATCTCCCCGCCCACCATCTCTTTCCCGCTTTGATAAACTCTCTTCATGGGATTGTTTAAGTCTGTGCCATTCATCATGCTCTCTCTGCCTCTCACCCCTCTCCCTCTGAAAGAAGCCCTCTTCTTTGTGCCTTGCTTGATGCTGATCATCATCTCTGAATCTTGCTTGGTCATCTCTCTTCCGCTGATCCAGAACATCATCTCTTTCTCGCTTTCGCCGACTGGAATTTTCTCTGTGTATATGCAAGACGTCTTTTTCAGCATTGTCCCTCCTTGATTGCGTCTCGTCTTTCCTTCTTTTGATGTGGAGATCATCCATGTTCTCACTTCGACTCTTCAAATTATCATCCCTATCCCTGTATCGTGACCCCATATCTTTATCATGAGCCCTCCAGCTACCATTGTCAAAATAGTTTCTTAACTGATGATGGTCATCTCTATCACTCCTCTCATTTTCTCGAACCTTACTCCGGTGCCTGGACCCCATTTCCTCACTATGCTCCCGTTTTCTTGTGTCTTCAGGTCTAGTTCTCTTGCCATGTGGATCTTCACCTCTCCGTTGCCAGGCTACCTCAGAAGTATCACTCTCCTTTCGCCTGTCAATAGTTTCAGTTTTCACATGCAAAGGATGGACCAAGTTAGGGTCCCAGTTTTTACGGGAATAAGAATCCTCCCTCCCTTTGACAGTAACATGGTGTTTTTCAATCTCTTGCCTCTCATCACGATCTTTTCTTTGCCCAATATCCTCATTTTCACCTACCGGTCTCTTTATGATCCTTGTGCGTGTAGAACGTCCACCCTGAACAACTTCCTCCTCAACAGGATCACGTGACTTCCTATAGTCTTTACTACTTCCTGATCTTGCTTTGCTGTTTTCACTACTTCTTGCAGCCTTCGAGTACTCCTCCCTATCATCATTGTTTTGGTAAGAAGGTTGTTCGACTTGGGAACTTAGTTTTTGTTTTTGCACAGAATGTACTACATTTTCATCGTTGAGAGTATCATTTGTAGTCACTGTATTCAAAGCCATTTCCTCTCTTTCCATTCCCGTGCTTCCCTCCTCAAGTAAAAGTTCATCATGCACAGCATCTTTGCGTTCGAAACCCCGGCTCCCGTCAGTCTCCACATTGGCAGGAGATGACCAAGGAGGACTATGATTACCATCAATGCTCTCAACCGAATCTTCCTTCTGATTATCAGGAAATTGCCTGTCCACTGTACTTCCAGAAGCAGTCACATTAGGGGATCTGTCACGAGCTCTTCTTCCCTTTGTCCGCCTAGTTTAAGAAGACAAAGAAAGTAGCAAGTGTTTGTTAACTTCTTTTGGCAAAGTTGTGGAGCCAAAATTAAAGCACATCATCAGCCAAATCAATTCAACATATCAAAACAGCAGAAGTTAAATAACAATCAAAATCATAACCAAGCAAAGAGATATACAAAAAACAGAGATTTGTCAAGAAATTTCTGTTGAAGCATCAAACAGTAAAAATACGAACTATACAATCAGCACAAAATACAACAAAACCTCGTGTTTCTACAAATCATAAGACTGACTAGAAACATGAAAAAATTACCAGTTACACCAAAAGTATGTAAAAAAGTGATTTCCAAATAAGCGAATGGAAAGGCTAGAATACCATTAACATATTGATTCCACTAAGACTTGATAATACAAAATTAACAGCTTCCATGGAAATCTTTCCAGATTCCAACCATCAAAATGTACGACTAATAACACTAGATAGCCCAACAAAGTCTCCTCATTTAGTTGCACACCACAATCATGTTTTTTTCTACCAAATTTAGAAACAAGTTTTCACAACCACAACTTTCCTTCAGTAAATCCGAACCATGGTTACCACAATTCATCAAATTCCTGATAATTCATGTTCTTGGTTCATCGATCCCAAAGGGGGTGGATTCGCGATCTAGATCACTAAAATAGATGACCCTAAATTGTAATAATACTAACCCTAAATCAATTCGCTTTAGAACATGTAGTACAAATATAAAATACATATTAATTGACTACATATATATAGATTTATAATTATATATTGTTTTAGTTAATAGAAAATCATACACAACTATAAGATAAATGGTAACTGACTTAATGTTTATGAATGTTCTATAATATATAATGTTGTATAGTAGTAAAAACGATTTACGTAAGAGTTCCAAAATAAATTGTGATCCAAAATACCGTACCAACTAAGCCTACCTCTATCGTACCGTGTACCTAAGAAAGTGTCGTATAGTGTACCCATACCCATACCCCGTACCAAAGCGACACACGGTAACATTGATCCAAACTTACGCATCTATTCAGCCTAATTCTATCTTTCAAATAAAGAAACAAATCTATCTTTTCCGGTGACGTAATCTCGGGCACATGCAGTTCAAGAGAAAAGTTTAATATATCATGATTGCAATTGTAAGAATCTCACGTTTCCCTTTGATTTGACAGCTATGGATAGATCACACATCCTAGAAGAATCTCTCCACTTCATTCATTCAACGGTTCCATCATTCTACCACTCCTCATGGACAATATACCAAAATACGAAATCCTCATTTAGGTACAGACCTTTCCTCTTATCTCCAAAATCCCTACTGTACTTATGCATTCACTACCGAAATTGTGTGGCTAATATAACTAACTCTTTAACCCTCCGAAGTATCCTCTTGCACTCCTAAGCTGAATTCTACTACCATCTTTGCAGCACAAGCCCTAACAAACACATGGGACACAACAAAGATAAGCAATCATGACAGTTTCTACAAGAGTAGGAACAGGGCAATACATAAATTTTAGCATCTTACAAAAATGCAGCAGAACACAAGGAGAAAATTACTAATTTTCCTCCATTTATTCAAACTTCTTTACGTGACATTACATAACTTGAACAAAGCATCTCAACAAAATATCACAACATAAGTGTTAAACACTACCTAGTACATTGTGTCTTTTACAGATATCGGATCTATGCCGAGAACACGTTGCCTGTGTCAGAGAGTACATACAGGCTGAGTTTGTCATGTTTCCACAAATCAAATGTCTGACATGGAGTCAGGTACACACAGCCCCTATAAAGCAGTATCCGTGCTTCATAGGGATCACCGAGCAAGAAAAAGAACTGATTAAAAGGAGGTCCTTGCCAGAAATTAATATCTATACCACCATCTAAAAGGGAGGAATACAATCGTACTCAAGGCTTCAACAATCAACAACACAATGAAGTGCTATATTTGGAACAAAAGCCACCGTGAGAAAAAACTATTTCAAACTTCCTAGTTCCTACTGTAACCTCTATAATAAGATCCAAAATGTTTCCATTAAAATCATAATATACGGTTTCCAACATTCCACAAATGCATGTTGCAGCGTTATGTAAGGTGAAAAAAGCACCAAGCCGCCAAGGTCTCTTGGGCCCTGGGCCCAAGGCACAAGGCAAAGCATGGGCTTCATTGGTCCAAGGCGCATGTTGTAGATAACATGTAAAAATTATCAATTGTACCTCAAATACAACTGAATGCAAGAAAGGTTAGAAAATTTCAAGCAAATATATAATATACAGCTCTTATCCATGGCACATATTAAATATTGCAAAAAAAAAAACTAATTATAGACAAATATATCTAATGTCAATGGCATAAGATAGTCATTGTGAGATTTCCACCAAAATTAATCAACTTCTAACACTGAATTTCAGCAAATTACAATAAATATCAATACTATTTTTGCAAATAACAACTAATTTGAGAATTATTAGCATTCTTTAACTAATATGAGATAGATATTTATTTTCAGACTTTGTAGAATTTAGGGTTAGACTTCGATATTTCTACTTGGAGTTATAATTTGGTGTGAAGCACAACAAATATTCCAATCAAGGCAATACATCAATGGCCCAAAATATATCATTGAAGGAGAAAAAAATAAAAAAAAATAATCGCCTAATGCACCTTGCACACCCCGACCAGGGACGGAGCCAGGATTTTGTTATGAAAGGGACCAAATAGCGGCACAATTAGGAAAAATATTCAATAGGATCATCCAACAAGTCATCGTTAATGCTAAATTTCTAGTTGTAAAGAATTTGTCCAAACTTTGCCATGATATTATCAAAAAAATTAATTTGGATTATAATTTCAAAAATTGATCCCCTGTCCTCAATCTGTTTTTAACTAAAACTCAAAAGTCGGGTTTTGGTTTAAAGGATATAAATCGATCGCCCTTTCTAGTACTCAAAGAGGTGCCCAATCCCACGGGGTAGTTCCCTAACAGTAGGAGTTCGGTATCTCGGTTGTTTTCTTCTCTTTTATGAAAGAAGTCTTCCAATTTAGCATTTGATTCTTCGTTTTGTTGCGCTATTTTTGCTGTCTAATCAGCGTATTTTCCGCCGTCGTCTCTTTGTTTGATTTGATTCTGATTCTTAAGATTTTTAATAGATATAATTGTTAGGCCATTAAGTTTTATAATACAATAGATAAAGTATACTATATATTACAAGAGCTTTTGGAAATCTAAGAGGGAAGCATAAGAATTTTTAAAACCTAAAAGGAGTGTATAGTAAGTTTGAAAATCTTGGGGTTGGGGGTGGCCCTTTTGGCCCCAAGGGAGCTCCGTCCCTAGCCACAACTACAGCAAAATTGCCTCACTCAAGCTCATCAAGGCGCTTCAAGTAAGCCTCACCTTGCCTCAGGCCTAGGTAAGAACTTTCTACAATACTAGTGTGCCGAAAATTAATGGATTACTATGCCAGATTAGGAACTATATTTTTTACCAAATTATTCCACTTTTTTTGTATAAACATTTAAATGGAAATGTGTTTCCTAAACTCAACTCAACTAAACAAAGTATTTCCTAACATTTTTATGGTTGGCTACATGAATCCTTATTCATCAATGTGCTATATCAAGGGTCATACTTTATGTTAAGCCATAAATTATCAAATATTTCTTTACTATTTCATTTAAAATTAATTTTAGTCTTCCACTATCACTTTGTTTTCTGTCATAGCTATCACATCACTCTTCCTTACAAGTTAGTAGTAAGTCATCTATAAATATGTCAAAACCATCGAAGTCAATATTTCCTTATTTTACCTCTTAGATGTGTTACCTCAACTTTTTCACGAATTGTCTCATTCCTAATTCTATCCTTCTTAGTTTTACCACACATTCATCTTAACATTCTCATTTCTACTATACTCGTTTTTTAGACACCAGATTCCATAACACACGCTTGTGTAACTTGTTTTGAAGGAAGTGTTGGCCATGGATGAAAGAAACGTTCGAAGAAGAGAGACATGAGAGGTTGAGAAGTTTTAGATGAAAGTTAACTAGGTTTTATTTTTTTTTATTTTTAAAAAGACTATAACATCCAATTACTATTAATAACTACTAACAAAGGGAGACGGCATCAAAGCGTTCCTTGGCCCTTATTGATAGCATAGATGTTGTTTCTTAATCGCCCAACACTTAGAACCATAAAGCATAGTTGATATTATGACTCTTTTATAGAACTTTCATTTTAGCCTAAGGGGAATGTGCCTATCACACAATACACCGGATGCATTCTTTTATTTAATCCATTCTGCCTTATGGGTAACATTGTTACTGAACTCACAATCCCTTTGGATATTGACACCAAATATCGAATGTATTCACTCTTCGATCTCTTTATCCTCAATCTTTACCATTCCTTAATTCAGATTTCTACTTTTACTAAAATTACATTCAATATATTTAGTTTTACACTTTTACTCCTACTAATCTAATTCTAAAGCTTCTCTTCAAACTTCTAGCTTATGATTAAGTCGTTTTTTACTTTCATTGATGGTCCAAAGTCGTAGTATAGATCGTCGACAAAAGGTATTGAGACACATCCGTCCCGACATCATGGTATAGGCCAGTGTGCACAAAAGACTACATAAAGGAGCCCAAAAAAAAAATTAAAAAGTTTAAATAACAAATCCCCTATATCAAATGTCAAAAATGCATCATCTAGCCTATTAAATATAGTAAAAATGGCATGCCCAAAAAAGAAGAAATATGTGTTATGCAAGGGTAATACCAAAAATATATTGATAAAAAGTAATCCTAATTGGATCCAATTTGGTGACCTAAATTGGAGCCTATTTATTTTATCGTCTAAATCTTAATTGTATGACCTAATTCTGTATAAGTTCCATTTCCAATCTAATGACAATGATAAATTACTGCTCCAAATTAATGTTTTAAATAAGGTTCAAAAAGTATTATTAGCTAATATAAATATACTCGTTTAGTCTAGATGATAGGTTAATGTGTTTTAAAGTTAAAACGAAACATTCATAACCAAAAAAGTTAAAAAAATACAATCTATAGTCTTACCATTATATTAGAATATTATATTTACAAACAAGATAACCCTAGTATTTAATATAGTCCAACAACCCACCCCTGACCTCTCAAACTCTAAATCTAAAACCACTAACCTATTATTAGTTTTTTTTTCTATGCCCATAAAAAAAAAAAAAAGACTTTTGGTACGGTTGCCCTTCATTTCCCTAACACTCAAAGAGTGTTGGAGGGCGGGGACATAAAACGAAAACCATTTGTGCATCGCAATCAACGAATCGCACAAAGATGTTGATAGAGCTAAAGAATGTGTTGCTTTGATTCAATCTTCTTTTTTGGCTTCCTATCCTTTTTTTTTTGTGTTTGGTTGTTGATTTCATGCAAGTGACCAATTTCTAAAGAATCGTCCAACTCGATTATGAGTTTGTGCAAGTTAACTCTGTGTTGCATCAATTCTACCAATTTGTCTACGCATCATGGCTGAGTCAAGCAAGACTTGTGGTTTTGTTGTGATAGGTATCGTTATCAATCCGGTATTTGCCAAATCAAACGTGCCCAACTGATACTTTGAACCCTGCTTTATCATTAGTAAATAACACATACCATAAAATCTCATCTTGAATATGTCTAAAGTGACCACTTTTTTGCATATATCTTTAATCACCCCAATATACCTAATTGAGACTTAGAAGGAAAACCATTTGTGCTCGCAATCAACGAATCGCACAAAGATGCTGATAGAGCTAAAGAATGGTAGAAAAAGAAGGCATGATCAATTTATTTGCAGTAGCTTGATTTTGCAAATATGTTTTTGATGTTTTGTTGTTCTCTCGGTTATGAGTTTGTGCGAGTTAACTTTGAGTTGCATCAATTCTACCAATTTGTCTTTGCATTATGGTCGAGTCAAGCAACACTTGTGATTTTGTTGTGATAGTATCGTTATCAATCTGGTATCGGCCGAGTCTAACGTGCCTAACTGATACTTTGAACCCAGCTTTATCATCAGCAAATAACACATACCATAAAATCTCATCGTGAATTTGTCTAAAGTCACCACTTTTTGCGTATATCGTTAATCACCCCAATATACCTAATTGAGACTTATTTCTTCCCTAGAACCCACTATAATATATTTCAAAGGACTTTATCATATCCAGTATTTCCAAATAACCTTGAATTGTGTATTGACCTATAAATTTTTCTTATCCATACAGTCAAAACTTCAAAACAAAGTTCAATATTTTTTGAAACGCCTGAATTTAGCAAAATATAATAAGGCAATTGAAAGAGAGAAGAAGTTCACAAAAAAACTGAAACTCAAAATTTTGGGTCAAAAGGCTATTGCTTTTAATTAGATTTTCAATCAAATGATAATTTTTAATTGGAAATAAAATATCAAATCCTAATTTGGAAATAGGATTGACTAAAAGTTTTGAAAGATATAGAATCAAGCTAAAATTATTATCAAATTACATACTTATAGTACCGTTTTCATTGTTGGTAAGAATTAAAGATCATGTAAGGGAAAAAAATAAGACACAAGTAGGTTTTTTTTGAAACAGACTCAAGTGGATTCATGGAAGGGATAATGTAAAACTTATGCATATCGTTTCCCTCATCATATCATGACAAATGGGTACTTATAACAAGAAGGTGAAACGATAAACAATCTTCAAAGTGCGTTCCAAGAAAACTCCTATGATTTGATAATTCTAGAATCTTACGACTTTCTAACTTTTTCTGATAAGCGACAACAAACTTTATTAATAATAAAGGGAAAAAAGAAGTGTTATAAAAACCAACAAAGGTGGACAAGTCGTCCAACCCAATAAGGGGTAACAAAAAAGTCAAAAAAATACAAAAACTATGGCACTAAAACTAAAGTTACAATCCATTTGATGTTGTCCATCTCGTCATAATGCTAAAAAGTGTAACATTCTCAAAATCCTTAGTAAAGGATGCCCAAAATGCGGCCAAAAAATGAAGTTAAACTCACAAACATTCAACTTTCTCCCATTTATCTTCCAAGATTCTCGCATCACTCTCCTTCAATCAAACCCAAATTATAGCAAAAAAGGCATAATGTCAAAGGGTCTTTCCCTTTCTGTTTCCTCCCAAGCCCTTATAATCTAAGCAAACCATCCATGACATTGATCTTGGAACCGCTCACGAAAGGCCAATGCAAGAATAAATGCTCCACACTTTCACGATGACCTCTACACATAACACACCATTATGGTAAAAGACAAGTCATAGGTCTTCCTTTTTTTGAAGCACATCATGGGTATTGATCTTACAATAAGCAATTACTGATGCACAATTTTGCACCTTTAAAGGTGCTTAGGCCTTCTAAACCTTATGAAATAATGGAACTAAAGAATCATCCATTAAAGTCTCAAAGAAAGATGTGCAAAAGAAGACACCTAAAGGATCACTTATCCAAAGAGTTTTTGGGACAAGGAGAGACCATAGAGCATAGAAAGAAGTAATGATAACTTCAAATGTTCCTTAACTTATACACTCCAATGATATCCGAAATTCTAGGAGACCAGACAACAGTACATGATTATTAAAGATACAATACATTTGCTATGATAGCAAGAGATACGATAAATACGAGGAAATATACTAAAAAACGAAGACTCTCCTCCCCAAATATCCTCCCAAAAACAAATATCAACCTATCTCCCATAATGAACTTAAACCTCTAAGAAAAGTTATGTAAACCTAAGAAATGAATTTTCATGGACTCTAGCACGTACCCCTTCAAACGCAATAGCATCCCACCTACTAGCTTGCAACTTATATTTGCAACAAAAAAAAGACATGCCACAGTGAAAGTTCTTCTAAAGAAAACCTCCAAAGCCTTTTTCCGACTAAGGTCACATTTCAAATAAATTTCTCATAGCTAGATCGCCTTAACTTTAGGCTTACACACAACCTTCTGATAAATTAAATGATCCTTCTATGTTTCTCTACTTCCTTCATCATCCCTCTTTAATCCTCATTTCCACCAAACAAGACATCTTAAAGAGGGACAATAAATAAATAGGGATACTACCTCCTAGGAGATAAAGGTTTTTGTGAGGGATCGACCTCCCCATTACCGGGGATATACCTCCCTCCAAGAGCAATCCTCCCCATTACCGGGGATATCCCGCTCTCCATCAAAGGATTTCGGCTGACCTGCGGGGCAAACCCCCACAGTAGCCTTTACCTCTGTCCCACATCGGGGAAAGAGTCGTCTCCCCACCCCCATATAAGCCGAAGCACCATATGAGAGCAGTGGGATACTACCTCCTAGGAGATAAAGGTTTTTGTGAGGGATCGACCTCCCCATTACCGGGGATATACCTCCCTCCAAGAGCAATCCTCCCCATTACCGGGGATATCCCGCTCTCCATCAAAGGATTTCGGCTGACCTGCGGGGCAAACCCCCACAATAGCCTTTACCTCTGTCCCACATCGGGGAAAGAGTCGTCTCCCCACCCCCATATAAGCCGAAGCACCATATACTGCTCTCATATGGTGCTTCGGCTTATATGGGGGTGGGGAGACGACTCTTTCCCCGATGTGGGACAGAGGTAAAGGCTATTGTGGGGGTTTGCCCCGCAGGTCAGCCGAAATCCTTTGATGGAGAGCGGGATATCCCCGGTAATGGGGAGGATTGCTCTTGGAGGGAGGTATATCCCAGGTAATGGGGAGGTCGATCCCTCACAGTTTTCTTCGACTCATCTAATCTTTTTTCTATTTTCTCAATGACATGATCCCAAAAGGTCATTGACATTGGGTTACCACCTAAAGGGAGAACTGGATACTTCAGAGGCCCAACCACCAACAATTTAGCTCTTTTCACATTAAGCTTTAGGCCAAAAATCATACCAAACTCATCAACAATCTTCTCTAAATTCCTAATTTTTTCCTCATCTCTTGAAGAAAAGAAAATCACGTCATTTGCAAATTGAAAATGAGACACCTAGATCCTTCCCCTACCAATCCCAAAATCCTCAATCAAATAACATCTTTGTGTCCTCTCCATTAACCTACTCAAGCCACCCACCACCGAAGTGAACAAAAAGGTAAAGGATCTTCTGCATAAAAAGGTAAAGGATCCCAAAGCCTCGACAAAAAAGGTTAAGGATCCCAAAGCCAACTCCTCGTATCTGTTCAAAATTTCAAATGTGCCTATGGCCAGCATAATGTCCAAATAAACTTCTTCTATACAAAATATGGCTTAGAAACCACCAAATTTTTTTTAATCTTTACATAATACACATCAATCCAAGACCAATGAATGAACATTGTTTGACAAGGCAAGGTCATCTAAGCTGACACCTCTCTCTCTCCCCCCTTCCATTATCACCTACAATATGCACTATAGTTCCTATAGATTACATGACAAATATTCTTTTACTATTAAGTGAGCTTCCATTGGAAGCTCGCAAATGGTTTGATAGCTTTCCTTTCTCTTCTTGTGTACCAGCACATAGAAAAAGAATAAATTCTTCTACTCCAGGAAAGTGGAGAGAAAGGAAACAAAAAATCTAAGGACTGCTACTTTCAAGTTTAACCACAAAACTTCTAGGAATGTAGTAAAGCAAGAACTACCACATAAGTCACAACAAAAATTAAAAAGATTATACAGCTTCATGCTAGAAAATCCACAGAAACTCCATCCATCATTATTTCATACCTCTCATCGTGAGGGATGCCAAAATTCCTATCAGGATATCCAATGGCATTCCCCCTTGAATCAGAACGATGTTTACTGAGTGCTTCTGAATGAGGAGGCATCATTCCATCTCCATCAGTAATATTGTCATCATCAGGATTCATGAATGGTGCTCTTCTTCCTAGAAGCTCCCTCTTCCTACCATCATAACCACGTGGAGAACCATTAAAATGTTTGGCATTTTCCTGCAGGATCTCATCTTCAATTTCATCACCTCCTCTGAAATCCTCTCTTGATGGATCATTTTCTGCGATGTCATTTCCTGGGTAGGAATCGCCATCGGTAGAATCCTGCAAGACAATCTGTTTGCAAACAAAATTTGTACTTCTGCATATTAGAATCACAAGTCTAGACACAAAACAAATCGAGACAAATAAAATATAATAACGAACAAGATTGACCACTCACCTCAATGATCGCATCGGAATCACGCACTCGTGCTGGACGGGTATCAATGGATGGGAGGCGTTCGCCATAACCACTTTCCACCTGTATTGCTCTTCCAGTCGGCTAGCAGGGAATTAATTAGCCAGTGAGTATGACAACTGATACAGCAAACCAACTCTACTGTATACACTTAAGTTGATGTTTTGTCAATGGAATAAGTGGTCAAAACTAGAGAAGGAAAGAAAACAGAGAAGCTAAGTAAAAAAAAATTTAAAAATTGACCAAAACAAAGAAATCAGTGGCCAGGTTGGCATGCAAGATCCAAACTCTCTTGAGCAAATCTTCACGGATAAATAAAACAAAACACATGGTTACATACTAGAGGCGGTCGCATACGCGCAGATCCTTTTGCAAAGTCACTTTGTCCAGTATCTGTCTTGCCCAGATTTGCATTTTCAGATGCAACATCGTGAATACCTGCTGCTGCTGCTAGTTCTGGGGGCAGATCCGGATCAAACTCCTGAAATAAAATGGAAAAAGAAAATGAAAAGAAACCTCTTATTTCTTCGTTTTTCAAACACAGAAAAGTAGGTTGTCAGCGCAATTTATAATCGTCCGTGCATACTTTTATCTACATATCAAAATTCAAAAGTGCCTCGTTACCTGTTCTGTCCTCCCACCTTCGTAAACACGAATTTTGCTTTGCATGGTTGCCTCCAGGCGGAACTGCTCCTGGAAGACAAACATTTATTTTGCATACATCCTTTCTGCTAGTGGTCAAAGGCACTATGATAAAATGTGAATTACTTACCAGCTGTTTGCAATACTCTTTCCAGCTTTCCTCATTTAGACCAAAGTTGAAAAAATCTGATACATCAATACCCTGGAGTTTCCATGGTTTTTCCTCAAAACTATCGATATCAACTTCAAATATAGTCCTGAGAATCGTCAAGAAAGTCAACAAGAATATCAAATGCACAAAGTTGATCTCAAGTTTAACTATTTCATGCATAAAACCCAAATACTAGAATAAAAAGATAGGCAAAAGAGTATCTCATTAATTTTCTCGCAATAATAAGTCTCCCTGCTTTACAGCTTCTGTTGTGCTAACAGTCCCAAGCTTCACGAAATATGTGACGTATAAGATGTCAGACAGGATTAACTAATGGAAACTAAAATCCACCATCACATACTGATGATACACAGTGTATCACTTAAAGAGCATTGGAACTCGGGAGAAGGCCATGTCTAACCAGTAAGCTACAGCAGACAGATCTGCATGAGGGGGAACATGAAGAGAGAAACATTTCAAAAGACCACATAGTTTCATGAAAAAATTCATCCTTAGAAAAGTATCATTGGTTTTTATACATTTGTCACACATAACAATACCAGCTCTTAAGGATCCACAATGTGTTTCATTATAGATATTGACATGGGAAGGAATATTAAGAAAGACTATTGGAGATACAATCAGGTATATGTGACTGATTGCCCTTTCCCTCTTTTCTCTTTTTCCCCTTTTTTCAGCATAAGGGAGGAAAGAGAAAGAATAAAAGTAGATACAGCAGCTGCAGAAATCAGATTACAAGTTCCAAATATATCAATGACAGTCACACGGAGGTAGAAGAGAAAATGTGGGTCCATGACAAGAGTATTGTACAATATACTTCACCAAGATAATGTGGAACGATTTGATAGAGTTTAGGAATCCTTTGACTTATGCATTGCAGTGAAATCTTTAATTTATAACTGGATGACAAGTTAGTAACATCTGTTTTCAGCCCTTCCACCAGTATCTCTTGCGAAAAGAAATTAATGCCTCTCGAAGCCAAATATGTTGTCAAATCGAAGAAACCCGAAGAAGGAAGAAACTTTAACCCATGCATCCGTGATTGGTGGCTTTATGGACTCTTATTACAACATCCAAATACTGAATTAAAGCAACATCCAATCACCCCATTTTGAATAGCCAATAAAAAAAAACTTTCTCAGAGGAGTATAAAAGCTGTTTAGCATCCCATTTATTACTACACTAATTATAGATATTTAGACAAAAACCATAAAAAGAACAAAATCCTGATAATCTTGCAAACATCCAAAACTGTTTTACATGCTTGTCTAATTTCTTAGAGCTGTTACAACTCATAGGCCTGTTTGAAGCCCCCCAGATTCATCTCTTGAAACCTTTGACCCCAAAAAAAAATACAAATAAAATAGAAATCCTAACTATAACAAGCTATAAGGCAAAGGCATTTACTCAATCAAGCTATAAGGTAGCACCTCTATTCCTCAAAACAAATGAATTGACTGTATTCCATCACAAAGATAACCATTTAACGCATGATCACAATTCATCCACAAGCTATTTTTTAAAAGTGTTGCCCAACATTTAACAACTTGAAGCACTAATGGCCACAGATTCTATTACACCAAAAGCACTTCTTTTATACCTTCATCCTGCTCAACTCATGATCAACATCCCCTATAATTTCCACTACCATACAAACTACCAATTCAAGCTAACACAAAATGGGCCAATTTCAGTATCCTGTCCATTGTGAGTATTACTGTAAACAATTTTACAATTCAATATATTTTCCGGCGTCCATCTTTCCCTATAAATTCATAGTCCTAACTTTCTTTCCATATAACTTCAAGACTGCCATTTATCATTAATCTCTGCAGCAAACCAAACGCGCCATTGGTCTCCTTCTATGTTCACCATGGAGTACACAATCATAACCTACATATTAAGCATCTTGCAACCGTATATTCATTTGTCTCCCAGCGGGTGCTATTATAGTTGTTGCACCACTTTATATGCTTTCCCTTCATGCTATCTCTTTTTGAGTCTTCATCCTTTTTCAATGGCAAACAATATGAAAAGCTCTTCCAGGTCAATTATTAACAAGATCTCTTCAGCCATCGGTGAACAAATAGGTTGCATTTGTAAACATACACATAGGCCACAAGCATAAGAACTCCAAAATATTCAAAAAACATAGGTACTGTGTAATTATCAAAGACATAAGGTACAGAATATCTTCAAAAGAATCCGCTCTCTTCTCACGACTTACAGGACAAAAGAAGACCAAAGAGTGACCCACAAACAACGACACATTGATAAGATAACACAAAGAGTGTTTATCTAATATGTTAGACACCAATATAAGATTCGCCATAGGTGCAGTATTCAATTGACACACACAGTGTTGGTGCATGTGATATAGAAAGATACATACCAGCAGATAAGAGCCAAAATCTCAACAAAAACACATTAAAACCTTAACAGGATTGTTCATGGAAATCAAAATATAAAAGTTAGTAGACTTACGAGATGAATGGCATGACAATTTATAGTACCTAATTAAATAATGTATAAATAACTGGCCCATTGGACTGAGCTTTTATTATCCACACATAGTAGCAGCTTAGAAGATGTTCAAAGGAAATTCTGGACAGCATTGAAAGCAGAAAAAATAATATTACCAGAAAAGAAACAAGAAAATATGCTTAATAAAGAACTACAGATGACAACTCCCATTTAAAAAAGTATAATCAAGTTCATAAAACCAAAAATTCAGCATATACAGCCATATGAAGATTACTTGTGCGACGGAAGTGTGAAATCCAGTCCACTGCTGAAACCACGTCCTGCATTGTTGCCCCAAAGGGGCATCCCATAACCTGGATGAAAACCTTTCTGCATGGGAGAAGCACTTCTTATTCCCGTTGGACGCCAATCAGCTCTACCACGACCGGTAATGGGACCGACGTTGACAGGCGGCCGAACTTGACCTGGGGCTCCTCCAGGGCCCAAAGGAGCTGCTCCAGGCATCGGTGCTGCACCGGGTCTCACATACTACAAGTTTTTAAAGAGAACAAAGGGATAAGAAACATAACACGAAAACATAAAGAAAGATAAACGACATAAGCATGCAAAAGAATGATAAAACATTTCACAGCTACAGAATTCAACATCAATCTATCAAATACCCAATAATTTTGTAAACATACTGAAGCATAAAAACTAAAAAAAAATCCAGATTACAGTCATCTTTCGTGACGTTAGAATTAAAGACTCATTTGATTATTTCTGCTTACATCTGAGGATTCACCCAATGAACACAAATACATAAAAAAAATGTCGGAAACAGGTATATGAGACATTCAATACAGTGAGACAAACAGATAAAAATTAACAAATAGATTGGAACTGATCAAAAAATAAATAAACAAATAGATTGGAAGATGGAATAAATATAGTAGTAAAAAAATCATCCTGATGGTATGTAAGGACATATTACATGATCGAATGATTACTTGCAAATAAATTTTGTAAGCAAAGTAGAAAACAAAATGGCATGCTGATGTTAAAAATACCAAAAGTCACAGGCAGCTTGTGATAAAATCGAATCTTGTTTTATGTGCAACATCTAATAATACACAGATAAAACATGACCCAATGACTACTTGCAAACAAAATTTATGAACAAGGTAGAAAACAAATGACATGCCGATGTTAAAAATACAAAAAATCATAGGCAACTCGGATAAAACTAAATACTGTTTCATGTGCAATATCAAATAACATAAAAAAAATGGAGAAGCACTTCAGCAACAGACATCTGTGCCCAGATAACATGGCATATGAATTAAAATAGTAACATGGAGGAGGACTGGCATCTCGAAATTAATTAGGTGTTTTACCTATTTAATTAGAGAGGGGAAAAAAATAAAACTGACCCTAAGTTTGCCAAAATCCATGTTGGAAAAATACAAAGATTAGAGAAGGTATCAAAAACTAGATAAAATGGAGTTTACACATCTTCCAATTTATTAACAAAGCTAAAACAAATATGTGTTGCTGTTTCAGGAGAATACAAAATGCTTAGTTCTTGAAAAACATTCTTCTTATTCTTAGAATGCCTCCTCGGTAAGAAGTTCCTTGGATTTATTGCATCCTTTATACTGTTTATGAGCTCTAGATAAGCAAAATATGCGACTTATGCAAATGAATTGTGAGTCAACATACTTCCCACTAGTGGCCGAGTAAGAAAGGAACTATTATTTAAAGCATTTTCCTCACCGCTGGAATGTGAATAGTAAGCCACTACTAAGGTTTACTTATACTTTAAGAAACAACACAACCCCCAATTATTCTGAGCAACTGCAGCTGTTTTTGAATGTGTAATGCGACAGAGGGGCAGCTATTAATTTTGCAAATGGCCACATACCCTGTTGTATGACAATTTGTACAGATCAGAACACTGTAGTAAACTAAACAAATGGATGAAGTTGTCATGTTAATGTGTTAATATGAGCCTTATTGACTTCTTTTGATAAGAGAAGTGACCAATATCATCATGCTTGGGACAAATTTTGAGCTCATGTTTTGATACTATGAAATCCTGATTGCATAATGGACACGACAACTCAACATATCAAACTGCATGAGAATTAGTTATTTTGAAACATCCAGATTTAAGAATGCTCAAAGCATTCTACACACTGTTATACATAAAGTAAATATCAGTAAGTTAATGCATTGGCAATAGTAATCAATTATATTGAAAAAAAATATCATTCCATTAATGAGAAAAAAGGCATCAGTACAATAGTCTATCTCACCATCAAGTACAATGGCACTGATCAACTTTAACACCACCAATTTCCACAAAACTAGTAAGTCAAGTACCATTTTCATTTTCACTATACAACAACTACAAACCTGTGTACATTTCAAATTCTCATCAAACAACGGGAAACCACAAAACCCCACATGTACAATTCCACTGACCTTGAACTGAGAATGAAATGGATGGTAACCATGATTGCTGTACCCAATCTTTGGTGCCATAGCAATTACTCCGTTCACTTTTGCCGCATCACCCAATTCTTTTCTCTCACCATCTCCTGTCTGGGCCGTTTCTTCACCCCAGTCTTGCTCCTCTACCATTGGTTGATGGTTGAGGTTGTCGCTATCAGCTACAATAACCAAAGGCTCCCCATCTTCATCCTCATCGTCATCATCACCGCCACCTCCAATTCTCTCCATTCCCAAAGGCCCGTGATTGTTATCATTCAACACAATTTGCAAATCATCCTCACTATCACTATCCCAATCATCCTCGAGATTCCCCTCTGCCCGGTTATCCACCGTACCCGAGATCCCTGGAATCGATACCTCCGGAATCATTGACTCCGTAGCCATCTCCCCAATTTCATTATCACCCCCAAACTTCTCAGTCTTGTCAATTCTACCCAACAAGTTCTCGAGATCCTCACTTCTACCCTTCAATTTCTCATCTTTTTCCACCAGAAGATCATCTTTATCGTCTCTCTCTTCAACCACAACGTCAATATTTTCCTCGTCCATAAAATTTGAAACCCTAAAAGCCCTGTCTTGTAATTCCACATCCTCACTCCTCTCCAAAACCCTAGTTTTCGAATCCGATTCCGCCCAATTAATCCCAATCCCAGCTAAACCCTCTTCTTTTTTATCTTCTTTCAAATTCCGATCAGAATCGGAAGTTTTATCGATAGACGGCCCCGATTGACCCAATCCGCCGAGCTTGTTGGGCTCGAAAGATAGGTTTTCCTGTTGGTTTTGCTGAGAACTAATAAATGGATTAAAAGAAGGGTTTGAATTGGAATTGCGAGCTCCAAAGAGAATCTCTTCATCGTTACCTTGGATGTTGTCGTGATCGATCGGACGGTCCAGAGACGACGTCGTAGTGGTGGCTTGAGTTTGAGCTGGTACCTGAGACGAAAACGACGTCGCAAAGGGTCGAAGGACGTCTGTGTAGAGATCTCCGAACTCGTCATCGTCGTCTTCCATGAGAGAGAGAGAGAGAGAGAGAGAGAGAGAGACGATAGTGTTTCAGACAGAGAAAGTGGTGTGAGGATTGAGAGAGAGGGTTTTGAGGTTTGTGAGGAAACGGGATCGTGGAAAATTGTACTGTGGATTTTTCGCTCCCGTTTCAGCCTGCCGGATCCTACCATTGGGTGAGTTTTTACCCAGATTATCGTGTGTGTGTTTTTGATTATTCTTTTTTTTTTTTTCCATGTTATTTTTTTATTATTCTAACTATAATATATGTACACTATAACTAATTTGGGCTTGTAGACAATCTGTAATATTTGAGTAATTACTCGTATAATATTTTATATTTTTAAATTTTAAATAATAAAAAAAATTAATCACATAATTTAATATTAAAGTGAAATGAGATAAGTGAGAGAGAGAGAGATAAAAGAGAGGTAAGTGTGATTTAGTTATTTGATAGTTGGGATGCACTATTGCCATTTAGATATAATTGAGGGACATAAGTTTGAGATATAATGAATTGTAACAAATGGATTGAGTTGTCTTATTACGTAGAGAATATGATATTTTTTAGAGAAAAATACAAATTAGTTCTATTTTTCTTCTAAATAACCATTAAGTCATATCATATTTTATTTATGACAATTAAATCATATTTGTAACGATTTATTTTCAAGAAGTCCTAAACTTCATTCATGGTTTGTTTTGTTTATGTGCGGGCAATTTTTTGCACAATAAATAAATAAAAATAGTTTTCTTCCTTAGTGAACTCGTGTTTATCAAGAAAGTTGATGATCTCGTGGCAAAGGAACGGTCACAAGTGGCCTAAGGAGTGGTGATGAGTTGGCATTCAGGCTATCCGATCGATTCCAATGTGCTGAAGTATTTTTTGGCATGTCCTGGCACTCAAAAAAAGGGTTAGAAGAACACCGGAATGTTTTTCGGCGTATCCTCTCTGACGATCAAGTCAGTTATTTGAGAGAGGGGAAGAAGAAAGCACTATTTTGTATTCTGGTCTCAATTTGTGTACTTTTACTTTGCATATGTGAGAGCTATTTATACCTCTATTGAGATAATCATTGCGGACAGGTGAATCCCTTTGAGAGGAAACTCCTTATTGGTCCTTTTGGAAAGTAGCCTGTGGAGCACAGTCTTAGAGCAGAGTGTTTTTCTTGTCACGCCAAAAAAAATCTCTACATTTAATGCACTCTTTCTAAAGTCTACCACGTAATAAATGTATCACATCTTTCTAGGGGATCATTTAATGTCCTTCGTGATGGTTGTGCATACGCTAGGACATTTGCGTCCTTTGCCATCTAGGAGGTCACGTCGTCTGAACTTTGTATTTCGTGGACTCTCTCTATTAGTCACCAAGTTATCTATCTTGTCATTCCGACTATCTTGGGAAGAGAGTTTGATGATTAAAAGTCGCGCCCCACCTCTGACGTGATACCGTCATTCTTGACTTTTTCTAAAAATCTCATCATTCGCCATAGCCCAAGTCCCAAGGTGATCGCCAACACCTTGGCGGAGTGGAGGACAAGATGCTGAGGACTCCACGGACAACATGTCGTGGACTCTGAGATACCTTTAGTGGAGGGCTTCAAGGTGCCTTTAGTGGACTCCGAGGTACCCTTGGTGGAGGGCTCCGAGGTACCCTTAATAGACACAGATGTACTCTTAGCGGAGGGCTCCGAGATACCTTTAGTAGAGGGCTCTGAGGTGCCTTTGGTGGACTCCGAAGTACCCTTGGTGGAGGACTCCGAGGTACCCTTGATGGAAGGTTTCGAGGTACCCTTGGTGGACTCCGAGATACCCTTGTTAGGGGCTCCGAGGTACCCTTAGTGGAGGGCTCTAAGATATCTGATAGAATATAAATTTATTCAAGTTAATTTTCACAATTATCTTTTAGATTGATTGACCATATCTCTTGTATAGTTGGCTCTCCTAATTTGTAGTGATTGATATCTTGTAATTGTAATTATCCTAGCCTAGAATTACGTTAGTCATGATTGTATATTAGGAACACTGATTCAAGGCAATGGACAAGGGAAAAAGAATTCCTTTTACTTTCATGGTATCAGAGCATTAGAAAAGCAACCTCTCCTCCTCCTCCTTCTTCTTCTTCTTCTTCATCTTACTCTTCACCAATGGCTGAAAAGATTCATCCCGCCACCACCATAACAAACATCAAATCAGTCATTCCCCTCATGCTGGATTACGAGTCTGCTAAATACATTAATTGGAAGACTATATTCACAGTCCATGCTAAAGCCACGCTCACCTACAAGCACATCGTGCCACCACCGGTCGATGATAAGGCGACAACTCCAGCCTCTCCTCCAAAAATCGAGGCTGCACTTCTGGCCGAGAAAGCTCATTGGGATCGCATTGACAACATTGTTCATCAATGGATTTATGGAACCATCTCCGACGATCTCCTAAACACCATAATTGATCCCGATGACACGGCTACCGATGCTTGGAACCGTTTGACGGAATTGTTCCAGGATAATAAGACTTCTCGGGCCATCCACCTCGAGACAGAGTTCACAACCACTAATTTGCGTGACTTTCCTAATGCAAAGGCGTTCACTCGCCGCCTCAAGGTGATGGCCGATCAATTGGCCAATGTCGGAACCAAGGTCTCTGACCAAAGAATGGTGTTGCGTCTTCTCACTGGCTTGACCGAGGTATATGATGGTTTTGTGATGGTGGTTCAGAACATGAAACCTCTGCTGACGTTCGCTCAAGCACGATCGATGTTGCTTCTGGATGAAACCACCAAGGCCGAACGAGCCAAACTCGAATCAGGTTCGACCTCTGCTCTTTTCATGAATTCCAATACTAATAATTTGAACAATAATGGATAGCAACATGAGACGGGTCAGAACAGGTATTCAAACAATAAGGGTAGGAAGCACAATGGCAGAAATCGCGGTGGAAACAACCAACCCAGCAGACCCACGGTGGCCGTGGTGGCGACAACCACAACCAGCAGCGGCCTCCACAGCAGCAGCAGCAAGCCTGGAATTTCCCACCTTGGGGTGGGTGGGTCCCTCAACCGTGGGCCACCCCACCATGTCCTTATCCCAGCGCCTCTTGGGGTGTCCGTCCACCAATGGCGGCAAGGCAGCAGGGTGTCTTGGGTGCTCGTCCTCCTCAATCGTTCTACACAGCAACTCCTGCTCCAAGTGTTTATACTCCAACTGACATTGATCAAGCAATGCACACTCTCTCTTTGAACCAGCCGGACGAAAATTGGTATATGGACACTGGAGCGACGTCTCACATGACCGCTAATCTAGGTACTCTCACGTCTTATTTTAATTTGAGCAAACCTAATGGAATACTTGTTGGTAACGGTAGTATGATTCCAATTCGTGGTTATGGTAACACCTCCCTTATCAAAACAAATCCACCATTACACCTCAAAAATATTTTACATGCTCCTAACCTGATTAAAAATCTTATTTCGATACGTAAATTTACTAACGATAATATGGTTTCCGTTGAATTTGACCCTTTTGGATTTTCTGTGAAGGACCTACAGACGGGGAGCAAACTACTGAGATGTGAGAGCACGGGAGAGCTCTACCCTTTCACCACCAAAAATCAGGCTATTTCATCTTCAGCACCTTCTGCTTTTACAATCATTTCTCCTAGTATTTGGCACTCCCGTCTAGGTCATCCGGGAGATGAAATTCTTAGTACTCTTCACCAAAACAATTTTATTAGTTGTAATAAAGCCCGTAATTTATTTTGTTCATCTTGTCCCCTTGGGAAGTTTGTTAAATTGCCTTTTTATGATTCTTTATCTTTCACCACTATGCCTTTTGATATTGTTCATAGCGATTTGTGGACGCCACCTATTCTTAGCTCATCCGGCCATCATTATTATGCATTATTTCTTGATGATTACACTAATTTTTTGTGGACTTTTCCTTTGTCTCAAAATCACAGGTTCACAACATTTTTCTCTCTTTTCACGCATACATAAAAACTCAATTTGAAAGAGAAATAAAATCATTTCAGTGTGATAATGGTCGTGAGTACGATAATGGTCCCTTTTATAATTTTTGTGAACAACATGGCATGTCATTCCGTTTTTTGTGTCCTCACACTTCTCCTCAAAACGGGAAAGCAGAACGAAAAATAAAATCCACAAATAATATTGTTCGTATTCTGCTTGCACATTCATCTCTGCCTCTCTCCCTTTGGCACCACGCTCTAGAAATGGCTACCTACCTTCTAAACATCCTTCCCACAAAGGTTTTAGGCTACAAATCTCCTACACAAATTTTTTATCAAAAGAATCTTTCCTATTCTCATCTTCGGGTTTTCGGGTGTTTATGCTTCCCACTTTTTCCATCCACCACAATTAATAAACTCCAAGCCCGTTCAACTCCATGTGTCTTTTTAGGCTATCCTTCCAATCATAGGGGGTACAAGTGTTATGATTTGTCGGCTCGCAAAATTATCATTTCGCGTCATGTGCATTTTGATGAAACTCAATTTCTATTTTCAAAAATCCATACTCCAAATACTCATACATATGATTTTTTAGAGGATGGTTTGTCTCCATTGCAAATTCACAACTTGCATCAAAATGTCGCCCAAAATCAACTCCCTCAATCTCCTTCTCCGGCCCAGTCTCCTGTGCTCACAATGTCTCCTTTGCAGGCTGCCCTTTCCCCACCAAGATTGCCCTCCCATTCTCTGGACCAGGCCCAAACCACCCCTCTATCGTCTACTTTACCAAGCCGTTATATACCACCTCATCAAAGATCTGGGCCCTCTTCTTCAAGCCCAGCAGCCCCCCCTCCACAGCCCACACCTCACTATCATCCCCCAACCCAGCGAATGACTACTCGTAGTCAATATGGCATCTTCAAGCCAAACCGAAAATACCCCCATGCCTTAAGTGCCGAAACTCCAAAAATCTCTCCTGTTCCTAGTAACCCGGTGAGTGCACTTAATGACCCGAATTGGAAATCTACTATGTTAGATGA